AAATGCAGAATTTGCAAGGTGCAAACATGCGAAATCACTTACAGCATACAAAGAAACCTTTAACCCCTCCCCCCTACAAACAAAAACAGAGAAAGGAGCCTACTGCATAGAACCTTCTAACGCACTCAAACCTGTCGTACTCAAAAAGCGGCAATTTTAGTGTCGCCGAACATTTGGAGGAGAAATTCATGAAATCCAATCTAACTTATTGTTTTGGACCCTTCTAGCAATCCATTTGAAGCTTCGCAGTTGGAATTCAAGCAACATATCCGACAACTTTCTTTTTTCTCCTTGAAAACTTAATTATTTCGATGAGACCAAATCATATATAAAACTGACCACACTACTGTTGTCCACAATCGTGACCGCTCAAAATTTCCACCCGTATGCTCCTCTTTATTTAACAGGTCTCTTAAATTTGAAATCTCATATTTGACGTTAATTTCACATTTGAATTTAAACTAACAAACATTGGTGTACTTCCAAAACGGTTGCCTAATACGACTATTAACATGCATCTACTGAACACTGTAATTATTACAGAACGACATAAGTTTGTATCACTATAATAAAATAGGGTTTAAAGGATATCAAAATGCCATAATGGGTTGTTTTATATGACATGAATTTATAAGACAATTTCGATAGTTTTAACGTAGTTTTTAGAATATTTTTGGAATAAAATATCATGTTAATCTTTTATTTAACATTATTTGAAAAAAAATATCTTATAAATACAAATGTATTATAAAAAAAAAATGTTTATAGGAGATTTCTCAAATATGTCCCGTAAAAAAACTTATATAATATTTATTTTAAATATTCTAGAAAACTTAATAAGAGATTAAAAAAACATTTTATAAAATAATGTTTTTAAATTGATATACAGTTATTTGGCAGTGTTTCTTCAAAAACTCTTTATCATTCTTTTGTTTTCGTTTTCACAACTTTTATAATAATATATATATATATAATACAAAGGTTCGTTCTTGATATTTTTTAGGCCTTAGGCGAGATATAAAAAAGGGACTCTCAATAAGTACGATATTTTTTTCAATATATTGTTTTTATCATCAGAAATAACATTGAATTCATATAAAATCGTTTTTCCGAGTATTTCTGGACGCAAAATCAATCAATACTCATTTCTAAATTAATATTATCTACTATAACATTTTTATGTAGTATCATTAATTTGTTTCATCATCAAAAACATCATATAATATACTTTTGGTACATAGAATGATATCATTTGGGGTCACAAAGTGGATTCTTCTTATTTCCGAGTGACACTATATAAAACAATGTAAATAGGTTGGTTTTCCGTATCATCTCATGTTAATGTTTTTTAAAATAATTTTAAACTTTTATATTATGTTTTCGAATTTGGGAAGATTAACAACATTTTAAACTTTTATATTATATTTTCGAATTTGGGAAGATTAACACTATTTTAAACTTTTATATTATGTTTTTGTATTTGGGAAGGAAAGAAAAAACGAGAAAGGAAAAGAAAAATGACAGGAAAGAAGAAAAATAAAGTTTTTTATTTGTGTTTTTAATAAAGAAGAGAGAAGAAAAAATAATGAAATAAAAATAAATTTTGATATAATTTTTTCCTTTCCTTTTCCTTTCTTTTCCCTAAAAAAATCTCGAGAACAAAATATTTTTCTTCTCCCGTCATTTTCCTCTTTTTTCTATGTAAAAGAAGACTCAAGAACATAGAGTTAGAGTTAAAACAAACTTTTTTGGAATTATCGATTATATAAATTAAAAAACTCATGTTGGTGATAATTTGATATCTTATTCTTTTTTTAGAGATAGATTAGTAGATAAGATTTATAAACTCAATATTAGATAATAAAGAACAACTATTAAAAAACAATTATAGTTTTATTATTCTAAATATAGATTTAAGTTGTACCGTTTTATATTGTTGGTAATTTTTTTAAAAGATGTGGGTTTTCTTAGCTAATAATAAGAAAATCAATCATATTCAAATATAAAAATAGAATTCACATGAGAATGGAACAATCAACAGAGTCGGTGAGAGATAAATTATGGAGAATATATCAAAGTTCTCGAAGCAAGTAGTTTTAGACGTTGGTTTTAGATAAAAAAAAACTTAAAAAAACATTAAATAATATTATATAATGAACGACATATTAACCTCTTTATGTATTTTTTTTTCCAATATATTTAATTCATATATGTTTGGGTTTTTAATAATTAATGTAGTACAAATTTTTTTTCTTGTCATATTAGATGCTAATTTTTTTATGTGTCTTTTATTTATTAATTTGTTTGAACTACTATTACATATATTAAAAAAATTTGGACCCCTAATTTTTATGGACCCTGGACGTACGTCCGATCAGTCCTCTCCAGGAACGGCCTTGTTAATACATTAATTGTTTATAAAACTAAAATATATAAAAAAACGATATCTACCACGTTTATTTCACCTTATTTTCACATTTTAATTAAAAGAACAGAAATATCACTTTTTGTCGAAAAGTGGAGTACATGGGTATAAAACAAGAAGCATGTGGTGGGACCTGGCACACGTGTGACAGGTGGTCCAATTAAGTTCATGCACCAATACACACTTCCATTTATTTGCTAGGGCTGAAGTAAGCATCACAACCATATATTTCTTTATTTGTCAATTAAAAAACATTCATACTTTTTAAAGATAAGATTTCAGTTATATTTACCAAGTTATTATAATTGAGTGCTAATAAATTAATCATGTTTGGTAAAAATTAATTATAATTATATTGATGGAGGTTAAATAGTTGTTAACATAAATACCATGTGTGTAGCATTGGGGTTAACACTAATTAATCTCTCTCAATATAACTAGTTGATAATTTATCTGTTTGTTGATAATTTAACTGTTGACATGGGATTTTTGTTGATAATTTATCTCTGACTAATTAACTTATCAGCTAATAAGTTAGTTGATAACTTAGTTGTTAGGTCTAGGTTGTCAATTAGTCTTATTGGGAGATACTAATTATAACTACTGATAACATTAATTATATTGAGGGAGATTGATTAGTATTAAATAAATCCCATGTCCGTAGTGAACGAACGTTTATGTCCAGCATCGATAGCAATAGGTCATGCTTCAACATGTATATAACTGTGAAATAACTTTAGAGACTCAATTATATATGTTTCAGCCCTTCAAACCTAGTTAATTATGTATATTATTATTACTTTCACTCAGATAAATTATTGTTTCCTATGATTGATCTATCAAAACGACTGAATTACCCTATTTAATCAGCATTGTGTTCCTGATGACGATTCAGAAGACGATTGAAGCACAACTCTTAAATCTCTTCAACCTTTTTTTTTTCATTTTCAGCTCTTAATTACTACTTATGTCTAACTTGTATAGACGTTTTGCAATTCAGACTGTTTGTTTTTTTATTATTTTCAGAGCCTCTTATCACTTAATAAGATCTGAATAAATAAGAGGTAAACTAATATCTTAATTTTTCTTATTTCCTCTTTTCTTTGATTCTCTTTGTCTATTGCTTCTTTCTCCACAAGAGACGCCATCGTCCTTTCATCACCCACGCAAAATGCACACTCCCACCTTCTCTTTCTCTAGATCTCTCTCTCTACACACACACACATATACATATATATATATATATGTATATATATATATATATATATAATTTTTGCATGTATAAGTTAGCTTAGAAGATTAATGTAAAACAAGAACTTCTGTCGGCGATCTATCATCTATCAAAAGTATCGATCTTTTCACAAACAAACTCGTCGACGGCATTCCCGATAGCATCGAAAGTCTTAGAGATATCCAAAAGGTTCCTACAATGTTCTATCTCTTAAAAAATTGTTGAGATGAACTTCCTGATTTTACAAAAACAAACTATTGATTCAGATTTCGGACTTAAGACGTTTGTCAGTTTATAAAAATAAAGGGCTGTTTGTTTACCACTTATTGATTCCATTCAAATGTATTTGTTTGAATCGGTCAGACAATGGGTTGTTTGGCTTGCATTTTAAAACATATGAATGGTTCAATAAGGTCTGATTCGCTCCATCACCACTCCATCCTCTATCCGATTCAGACTTCACTTTTTTCCTATGTTACCCTTCTTTCAAACGACGCTTCATACTTCTCCTCAATACTCTCGATTCTCACCATCAGACACCCAAGAAATGCTCCTCAAAAACCCATGATTCTCACCATCAGACACTCAAGAAATGCTCCTCAAGAACCCTTGATTCTCACCATCGATCTTCTCTATTTCTTCACATTCAACTTGGCAACAGGTTGCATTCGATTCTGCAACAGACGGGGACGAGGGAACCATCAAAATCGAAAGAGGTAAGACCATTTTTCTCCTCACTCTTCACACCCTCTCTACCATTTTTTTCTTCAAAGTCGACCTTCTGCATTACTTTTGTGCAAAATGTCTAATTTGAAGTGCTATGAACACCACTGTGTGTATGGAAAATGATATGTGATTGGTGTATTTGCCTTTATTGGTGTATAATTGAAGAAGTTTGATTTGTAAATTCAACTTGTTCTTGTTTGTATATGTTTTCCTATTTGTGTATGTGTACCGAAATTAGGTTGATCATATTTCAACCTGTTGGGAGAATGATATCACTCCAGAAGTGGGAAAACTGAAATAAGAAATAGGAGCATAAAGACAAGCTTACCTGGTACTGAAATCAATATGTTGTAGTCTACTGTGAGCACTTTAAGGTTTTTCAAATCGCCAAGTTCAGAGGGCAAATTTGATAGCTTATTGTTATCAAGAAATAACTTCTCAAGAAGTGGCAGTTTAGTCAACTCTACTGGAAACATCTGTCGATTGGATCAATATTTGAAAACTGATTAGCAAATTGCACTCTCGTCTTCAAACAACAACACTCTTAGGTTTAACCTCTACCATCTTTAAACTAATAATACATATATACACCAAACAATCAAACCGAGTAAATGTCACTCATAATAATGGTTTTGGTTCCTGAGCATTTGAATCCAATTCTTTTGTGGGGAATTCATTTGGGATTGAATCTTTTTCCCCTTTCTCCCTTTGATGCAACTTTTCCTTGAGCATTTCAACCTATTAGAACATGTAAATAGGTTATAAACATGTAAATGCAAATATTTGTCCAAAATCACATAAATTTCAATACAAAAATTGTTAATCACTCTGCTTTTTATGACAAATACCTCGTGTTTTAATTTGTCATTGTGTTTTTGGAGGCAATCAAACTCCGATTTGAGTTTATCGTAGCTTGAATTCAAGATCTCATAGTCTTTCTCGAGCTGTTTCGTCTTGCAACATGCTCGACGATTTTGAAACCAGATTTCAACCTGCCTTGGCTGCAAATTAAGCTCTTTTGCTACCTGAATTTTCCTATCTGGCTCAAGCTTATTTTTCTCCTCAAAACTCCTTTCAAGAAATTTAACTTGATCCACCGATAATCGCCTTTTCTTCTTCATTGGCCGGAAACACTTTTCGTAGTCCTCATCGGAGTTCTCCTCTTGTTCAGAAAGCCGTTTTTTCGTATTCGTCTTCTTTCCTACAAAGGGTTGTCAAATACGAACCATATTCATGGATTGTTTCCGAATTCTTAACTTTCTTGTTGAAATACCAAACGATATCCGATTTTTATTTGCAAAACCGATGATTGTGCATATAGCAACACCGTGGTCGTTTGTAGTCTTACACCAACTACAAAGTAAAAGTTTGTGCACATGAATAAAAATACATGTTTTTGTTTTTTGAACTTCTAACTATTACTAGTTTGCAACAAAAACAAGGTAAATTATAATAGTTTTTAACAAGACAAATAAAGACTTATGATGGTTAAGATCAAATTCAGACATGAATTTGGCAAAGACATTTGTTACAAGCTTCAAATGATTGAAAGTGATCATTATCTTTAAATTATTATATTAAAATGTTAAGCATAAACCAATTGAAGAATCAAGATTTGAAGGGTTATCCTGAAAGGAGTTGGAAATCCATGGAGAATCAAACCCATCTGACACTACAAGAAAAATAACCTTTAGAGAAGGTTCTGTTTTGTACTTAAAATTCTTAAAAGCTTCTCTAAAGGTTTTAGAGAAACTTTTCATTTCCGTCAAAAAACTTCTCTATGTAACGGTAGGTAAAACTTTTAGGGACGATTTTCAGAGAGTATATTTTTGGTATCTTTTAGAGACACTTTTTTAGGGCTTTAGATATACTTCAAAACTTCTCTAAAGGTTAATTAACTTTTTTATAAAAGCTTCTCTAAATGTATTTATTAGTGACACTTTTCAAGTATTGATGACAGTTTACAAACGTCTCTAAAATGTGCTTTCAGAGAAGATTTACAAAAAAGCTTCTGTAAAGATATTGACTTTAGTGACATTTTACCTAAACTTTCTCTAAAGATGTCCTTTAGTTATACTCTACAAACTTTCTCAAAAGATTATCTTTAGATACAAATAATCAAAACCTTCTCTAAATCTTATCTCTAGATACACTTTTAAAAGATCAATTACTTCTCTAAAAGGCATGTTATTATTATTTTTCATCCATATTTAAGATCTATATTTATATATAATTATATATTATATTAATCAACAAAAACAACATAAAAATCTCAAAACAATAAATTGATATAAATTTATCATATAAAAAAACAAGTTCTCAAAACAATCCCTAACATTCAATCAATCTATAAATCCATTTTCTAACATCCGCCCTAAACTCCTCGCAAAACTTGATACTCTACCGGTCATCTGCCATCTCTTTTCTAACTTTTTTATAGTCTCCCCGAGTAGAACCACGTTTGTTACTTTGCACAGATGACGAAGCCTCGTTTGATTGCAAGGTGTCTGCAAAGGTGTTAGCCATAATGAAATAATTTCATGTGAACCGCTAACTGTGACAATTTCCCTCTTTATGTACAACAAGTCAATAAGCCATCAGAACATTTCATTAGCAAAATGAATATTTAAAACCTACATATGATTTCAAGTTTAACATTTTCCAATTTATGCATCATAAAACAGAAGAATATATTAAACCTGCAGTTATCCTTTTTATACAAAGTCGGTAGACTCCTCAAACAGAATATATGAGCAACAACACCATCATAACCACACTTGCTTAAAACCTGAAGGAAAACAGTGGTAGAACATTAGTCAAAGTATTAGTCTGTTTCAAACCAAAATCGAACCTAATAAATAGATCATTACAAGTAAAAAGTGTGTACTGATTTCAACAACCACAGTCCAAGAATACTCAAAAAACATTGGCCAAGACTTACAATTTATGAGTGCTCAAACCGATGTTTAGGAACAGAGGAGTAAATAAATAAGTAAAACATCAAATAATAACAGTTAGGATAATAACAGGCATACAAATGAATTAGAAACTAGAGAGTGATAGCACACTCTCTTAGTTCCAATCACCGTAATCAAATGGAAGCCAAAAAACTATAACGCATTTTAGCCAAAAAACTATTATCTCGTTATGGTGTATAATAAACTCTAGAATGCATGTTAAAAATAACTGGTGGGAGTAATAACAAGTGCTCTTAGAAGACCTCTTGAGACAACTTGTTCATTTGCATGTCCTTGTCCTTTTTCTTTAACCTGCCTTTTTTCTTTAACTTGCCTCTCAAATATAGCTCGTTCTTCAAATTTATCAAATTAAAGAGAGTAGAATGCCCCTAAAATACTTGCAATTTAGAATGCTTATCACATAGTGTAGACTAACACAAGTCCAAAAACTTTAAGAAACTTTAAGAATTATAAGATAAAAAGATTTAAAGAATAATACTTTAAGAAACTTCAACATCTAGGAGGTTAGGATCTACCTATAACCTGTATATCATTGGGTCAAAGACCCTTTGGACCCTTTACTTAGTTCAAAGCGCACATATGCCGATTGGTTTTCATGAATGGAAAAAATACCTGTAGTTTGTCTCCCAAAGGATCTGATGGACATCTCGGCTCGTTCATCAATTCCCAAGCAAAAATAGTGGGATCATCTTTGTAGGTCATGTTGGTTACGGTATTCACTTTATTCAGCACCGTCTACACACCCAATAAACCATGTCAACATATCAAATGACTACATGTAACATTGTTTTTGTAAAAAGATTGTTTTTAACAATTGGGACGACTGTACTAAGATAAGTGGTTCCCACATGTTGCCTTAGAGGTAAGATGGTAGGCATCCATAAAAGGCAGAGAAGTAGAACGTGCAGGCCAAATGGGCAGAGAAGTAGAACGTGCAGGCTAAACGGGCAGAGAAGTAGAACGTGATTGCTACCTCGGCCTTTTTGCTGCTGGACAACTTCTTAACGGGCTGCTGTTTGGCTGCAGCTACTGTTTGGCTGCAGCAACTGTTTGGCCACAACTGCTGTTTGGCCACAACTGTTGTTTTGATAGCTGCTGTTTGGCTACAGCCGCTGTTTGGATAGCTGTTGTTTGGCTACAGCTGCTATCTAGACATAGTTGATAACAATAGGAAAAATCAATACTCCATCTAAATCAACAGGAGAATGAGATAAAAACACACCTACAAAAAGATATGATAACAAATTCCAAACCAAACCCAATATTACCCACTCAAAGTCATGTTTAGGGGGAGGGGGCAGAAAGTGGTTGTGACAAACAACTTAGACATATTATATACATCAAGTCTAAAATCATGTTCTTGCATAAAAATATCAATTTTAAGAGTGGATGATGAGCCATAATCAAGGAGACATTATGCAGAAAAACAAAAAGAAAATAGAAGACCGTTATGCAGAAAATGATTTATAACATGACGAACAACAATTGCATGCTCTAAACCAAACCAAAGCCAATATTACCCTCTCAAAGTCATCCTACCGGGGGGGGGGGGGTTAGAAAGTGGTTGTGATTAACAGCTTAAAGTGGGCTTCAACTTAGGCATGTTCATGTGGTTTAAATCAATATTATGCTTAAGATTTCACTTTGCTAGTTATGAAGAGAGCTAGTAAGCTGATCATATAATTCTTTGACAACAACTCTAATAGAATAAGAAGAAAAACAGTGGTCACTGCTTGTTTGACTGTTTAACATATTGCCTTTTTTAAGACACTTTTTGTAACATCCGAAGGCTAACTGTATAAATATTGCCTGCTTTGTGCACACATGGACTCACTTTTGTATCAATCATGCTATTGATCTTTCTATTCTATGTACCTCCTGTTTCCCATTGGTAAATGCTGGACTACTGGTCTCTGCTACCTTCTGCAGTAAGTAAGATGAATATTTAAAAGGTTTTCCCTTTTTAAGTAGGATGGATCGTGATAGAAAACAATGAAATCCTTTATCTATTTTCAACCATGAATCAAAAGCAACCCAAAAATCAAATACTTGTGTTGGGTGACAGGATGATACAAGTTTTAGCAATCATGAATAAACAAAGTTGCAGTTATCTTGAGACATAATAAGTACAGAAAATTTAGGTCCAATACTTGAGCAAAAGTCTTATCTCAGCATGAGTATGATCATGAACCTTTTCTTTTTCTTTGATAGCTTCTCCTAGCTTCAGACTTGGAATTCTATCACCACAAATCTCTTTGACATATTGGACCTCCCAGGGAGTAGTCTCATTACTTGTGCGAATATCTGGTGATAAACTCACTCCCCTCTGCAGTGAGCCGGTAAACTGGTGCCTTTCATGCATTGTAACATTCCCACCGAATTTTGAATA